AACGCTCCCACTAATCTGTCACTCTGTTCTCGAATCTTCCACCCTTTTTTTCAGTTGCTTCCCTCCCTTTAACTGCCGCCCTACCCTCACGTTCCATGAGTTTGCCACACTTCCCACGACCCTGCCGCCCTGTTCACGAATGTCTCTCTGCTTTTGATCAGGTGGCGGAGGGTTTGGTGCTGGAGAAGCAGCGATGGCCGCTGGGAGTGCTGCTGGTTATATTTGAATCGCGGCCAGACGCCATGCCACAGGTGAGAGGCGTGACGCCATGCCAGAGAGGTGACGCCATGCCACAGGTGAGAGGCGTGACGCCATGCCACAGGTGAGTGGAGTGATGCCATGCCGCAGGAGAGCTTGATGTCATGTCATGTACCATACCCCATGCCACGCACCGTACCCCATGCCACGCACTATAAACCATGCCACGCAACATATCCCACCACGTACCATAACCCATGCCACGTTCCATACCACATGCCACGTACTATACCGCATGCCACATAATCTACACCATACCACTTTGTGTACCCCGTGCCATGTTCTACATACCCCATGCATGAACCTCAAACCTGGCACAGGATGCTTCGTGCCCTGCATCAGACCCATGCCATCACCCATACTCGAGTCATGGACACTGGGCCGTGGCTTCTTCTGTGAACCATCACCATGAGGCCATGTCGCAGTTACTTTGCCCAAGTGAACCAACCTTTTGGGAAAAAAGAAAACGGAAAATTAAGGGGCCAAGTAGCCCTTGGATAGCACATACAAAAGGTTGCCTTCCCGACTGCCCCAGTTTTCCCTTCTCTCCCTCCCTCTTCTTCTCCCGCCTCTCCCACCACCCATCCCTGGGCTGGCCGGCTCAGATTGCAGCACTTGCGATTCGCAGCGGCAACGGGCTGTTGCTCAAGGGAGGGAAGGAGGCACTCAACTCCAACCGCATCATCCATGAGGTGAGATAATTAACGAATTACTAGAGTCTGAGGTGAGCTTCTAAGTAAGCCAACATCAATCATTCGTGGCGTATCGTTATTGGTGTTATCACGCCCTTATATCACTGCAACCATTCAGTTGGGCCACCTCTATCACCTTAAAAACCATTCTCTTCCTCCTCCTCCCCCAGGTGATTGCCTCCGCCCTGCCACCCGAAGTCGGCCCATCACTGATCGGGCTGGTAACCTCGCGCGACGACATCTCGGATCTGCTGAAGCTGGACGACGTGATCGACCTGGTGATTCCGCGCGGCAGCAACGCGCTGGTGAATCATATCAAATCGCACACCAAGATTGCGGTGCTGGGCCATGCGGACGGCGTGTGCCACGTGTACGTGGACAGGGCAGCCAACCTCAAGATGGCCAAACGGATTATACTGGATGCCAAGATGGACTACCCGGCAGCTTGTAATGCCATGGTGAGGGTTAAAATGTGTATGGAGAGCGAGAAACTGGGGATTGGGGAAAGGGAAGGGACGGAGAGGGAGGGGAGGGGAGGGAGGGAGGGGAGGGGAGGAGGGGGGAGGGAAAGGTGAGGGAAAGGGAGAGGGAAGGTGAGGGGAGGGAAGACGGAAAAGAGGGAGGGCAGGAGGATGGCCCATGCGGACGGCGTGTGCCACGTGTACGTGGACAAGGCAGCCAACCTCAAGATGGCCGGACGGATCATACTTGATGCCAAGATGGACTATCCGGCTGCCTGCAATGCCATGGTGAGAAAGAGGCGCAGGGAGGGACAGGAGAGTGGGGTGAGGGGAGGTAAGGATGGGAATGAGAAAGAGGTGAGGGAGGGGCCAACCTCAAGATGGCCAAACGCATCATATTGGACGCTAAGATGGACTACCCCGCTGCCTGCAACGCCATGTTGAGATGATGCTTTAGTGCAATGATGGAGCGTTTATGTTCTGTTTGAGATCTTTCCAGCCGTAGTATGGCATTGTCATCCACGTGTTCATTATTCACTTGTGCTGTGCATGACATGACATGCGCTACCTGCAATTTTCTATGTGGAATGTTGAATGTGCAATGTGCTATGTGCAATGTTGCATGCACGGTGTGCAATGAGCAGGAAACGTTGCTCATCCATGAGGACCTGGCGAGATCAGGAGCAGCTGCTGACATCATCAAGGAGCTCAAGGAGAACGGTAAGGTTCTTCTGGCAACAAGCGTCTCTTATTTACTGGAGGTTCCTGCATTCTTACTATGTTTACAATGTTTAATTACTATGTTTACTATGTCCACGAAGGTCATTTACCATGTCTGATGTATTCTCTCCCTGTCCTATGCGTGAAGGCATAGCGCTGTATGGAGGGAAGGGGGCAGCCGGACCCTTCCATCTGCCTCCAGCCGCCAATCTGCACCACGAGTACGGGGCGCTGGAATGTACGGTGGAGATCGTGCCGGACATTGATGCGGCCATCCACCACATCCACACGCACGGCAGCGCACACACCGATGCCATCGTCACCGAGGACAAGGAAGCTGCGAAGAAGTTTCTGGCGTCGGTGGACAGTGCGGTCGTGGTGCACAACGCCAGCACTCGCTTCTCCGACGGCTTCCGCTTTGGCCTTGGGGCTGAGGTGAGTCAGTAAGAATCAGTAAGAAGACATAAATTATAATGATAGGGTTGCTTGATCGTTTGCTTCCGCTTTGGGGGCGAAGCCGAGGTGGAATGTGGTGGGAACTGAGTGGGATTGGTTTTGAGAAGCTGCTTCACCCACATTTTTTTGGTTCAGGCTCAATGCTGAGGTGATTTGGAACAGAGGGTGGAACATGGAGGAGGGTCGGGTGGGCTCGACGTTAAGGTGGGCTGGAAGCGGGAATCTGCGCTTAAAACTCCAAGATATGAAGCGGCTTTGTCGCGATGAGTTGTCGAGATACTGTGTAATTTGATCCCCCTCTGCACATCTGGAATACGAGCAAGTGACATCCGTTTTGTTTCTCTGCAGGAGATGCTTGGTGGAGAATTCTCAGTTCGCATGCATAACTAATCCCTCTTCACACAAGTATCGTTTGTTCGTACCACGCTTCTATGTTGATTGCAGGTGGGCATCAGCACGAGTCGCATTCATGCGAGAGGGCCTGTCGGGGTGGAGGGGCTTCTCACAACGCGCTGGTTGCTGAGAGGTGCCGGACAGGTGGTCAACAAGGACAAGGACGTCACATACACCCATAAAGCACTGCCAGTCACAAAGGATGGTGTGGTTTCAAATGGAAACTAAGAGGAGCAAGTTTTTTCAGGAGGTCATTGAACACCAGAAGTGATGCACAATTCTTTAACAATATGGAGTTTGTGTATGGGAGTTTCACGTGGTGGGGAGAACAAGCACTGGTATGCGTATTTCATTGAAGCAACTTTATACATGTGCAAGCAATTTTCATTGAAGACGGAAGTGTACGCAAGTGTTCGCAAGGAGTTCGCGATTTATGAGCAGGGGACTCATGAGCAGCAATGTGCCACGAATTTCAGCGAATCGTTCTCCACCACTGATTCACGCGAACACCAACATAGTGGATGTTTTCTTCCCGCCATTTTCTCTGGTGTCAGAGTCGCCACCTCCACCACAACCATTCGCGAGGCAGGGCTGTCCCTGGCACAATTCGCTAACAGTTCAATCCAGAGCAGGAAGGTTAGAAACTGTAAACCTCAGAAAGCTTCCAGACCGTGAATTAACCTTTTGCACCGTTCAAAGCGACGAGTGCATGAATGAGCACACCTGGGGCTCCTGTGCTTCAGAACGAAACACCATTCTTGAGAGACAGTATTTAGAACCAAATACTGCAGACTGGACCGTAGGTTGTAGAGGAAAGACTAGGAAACTCGAGGTTTTTCTTCAGAGCTGTTTCCTTCACTCGCTATAATGTGGAAGCAAGGGAAGCATTGACGCAATGCTTACAGCCGTTACATCATTCCTGAACGATCAGGTCGTGCGATCATTCCTGAACGTACAGTATAAAGCCGGCGTTTTTTAGACCTGCTGATTCTTATTCGTCTACATACTCCCCTTGAGACACTCTCATAGCCCCGTAAACCGCATTCCGTTGTACAATTCCTATTATTTCACATTCCTCTCCGAGCTATTTATTTTTTAATAATCCTTCCTCTCTCACCCTCAATCCCTTCGTCCATTTTATTCTGAAAGACCCTTCCGCTTACATAGTCGCTCCGTGCTCTTTAAATACCGTTTAGTTCTGATTGGCCCGTCCTCCTTCGTTCAGGCGATGGCTCCATGTCATCCCTCAGATTCTGGCACGCCACATCATGCCAAGTCACACCCTCTCGGGCCTCGCTCCGCCACGTCACACGAGACAGTGACGGATCATGTCACCGTACAGCATTCCACGTCCCGCAGTGCCACGTCGCACGAAGCCTTTGCGCACCATGACACGTGTCAGCTCAAGAGCACTCACAATCTGAAACATGACCAGCACCAATCAAAACATGCAACGACTCACCCGAAACGAGGTAGTCACTCTCAATCCCACCCTCCTCACTCTCACACTCACACTCACTCCCACTCTCACTCTCACTCTCACTCCCACACTCAACCCCATCCGCACCCTCATCCTCACTCTCATGCTCACTCTCGCCGTCCCACGCATTCTCGTTCCCCTCCTACCAAGCCAACCCGGCTGGCTCGGATGATCAGGCTCGTGCGCACATGCACAGCTCAATTCCACCACCTCATACGCCAAGCACCAGCAAGAGCAGCATCTGAAGCCACAAAAACGGCCAATCAGGCCAGAAAAGCGACTCTTAAAGCCTCAGAAGCAGCAGGGGAAGCCGCATGTTTTCTCTTCTTCCTCTGCCTGGACTTTCTTGATTTCTTCTTCTGCTATGTCTTTTGGTTTCTTGACCGCTTGGCTGGTGAAAACGCTCCGCCCTGCTACTGCAACCGCATGAGGAGCAGTACCAGCAGCGGTAGCAGCAGCAGTGGGAGTGCGAATTTCCCCACAGTTGTTACTGATCGATCCAGTGGAAACGCTGTCGGAACCGTCTTCTCATCCGGAGCTATGCCGAGCCTGATCCCACCCAGCATCGCCCCGGACCTGTTTTATCGCAAGTGGCGGGTTTCGTTCAACCTGGGATTGCTTCAAATGGCGAGGGTTGCTCTGCCGTTCTCCCTGGACTGGAGGACGAAACGGGTTCTGCAGTGGTTAGGTGTGCAACGGGTTGAGCCGTGGTGTGGCGAACGGCAGGTTGGGGAGTGGGCCGGGGCGAAGCAGAGCAGGACTCAGGGAGAACGGAAGGAAGAGGAGGTGGGGGAGGAGGAAAGAGATGTGGACAAAAGACGACTTTTGAATGGTGATGGTTGCCTTGGGGAAGAGAGAGGTGTAGAGGTTGATGTTGGTGGTAGGGCTGGTGCTGCTGCTGATGCTGACATTGGTGCTGGCATTGCTGCTGCTGACGGCTGCTGCAGCAGGGACTGCCATCCTCTCTGGTCTCCTCCGGACGTATTGACGCATGGTTCCATTCGCCATCCGCACTTCTCCTTACGACACCACCAGCAGCATAACCACCACCAGCACCAACACGAGCAGCAGCAGCACCACCACCATTGTCACATAGCTGAACAGCGGCAGCCGTCAAATCAGTTCTACTGTCAGGGTAATCAGCTTGCGCCGTCGGACCACGATTCTCTTCTCGCTCCCTGCCACGTGTCGCCTGCTGATAGGCCGCACATGCGTGAGGTTGCTGGTAACCGCTCTGAAGCTGTAACTGGCCTTCGTGATGTTTCAAATCCCATTGCAGATTCTGACAGGGATGATGCAGGTGTTGCAGCAGCAGGCACAGATAGGCAAGTGACCAACGAAGGACGGAGAGCAGTAGGAGTAGCAGCGGAATCAGTGGCAGCAGCAGTAGTGGCAGCGGCAGCTGCGCCAGTGGGTATTGCTGTTGGGCTTGGTAAACTTGGGTCTAGTGCGGTTGGGTCTGGTGGAGCTGGGTCTGGCAGGGTGGGAGGCAGATGGACGGATTGTTACTGCCAGGAGTGTAGTGATGCTTATGAGAGGCAGGCCCTACATGTTTCTGTGGTGGGAGGGGGTGCGGTGGGAGGGGAAGCGGTCGGAAAGGGTTCGGTTGGAGGGAGTGTGGTCAGAGGAAACGTGGTGGGAGAAGAGAAGCTTACAGTTCCCACCAGCGGCAGCACCACCACCCCTCTCTTGGAAGCTGAATGCGCGCCACCATCAACGTTCAGTGTTGATAATATTAATGCCGAATGCAAAGAGAAGCCCACGATACTCCTGCTGCATGGCTTCTGCGCTGCTTCCTCCTTTTGGACCGACACCGCTGTGTCGTTTCTTCCCAGAAGCTTCCTGGAGGGCAGGAGGGTGGTGGCGGTGGACCTGCTGGGGTGGGGCAAGAGCCCCAAGCCCAGGGACTGTGACTATAGCGTGGAGGAGCACGTCAGGTGAGTTTTAAATTGGTGTGACTATAACGAACGTAGTGGTACTACCTGTACTGAAGGGTGGACCTGCTCGGGTGGGGCAAGAGCCCCAAGTTGAGAGATTGTGACTATAGCATTGAGGAGCACGTGATGTGAGGCATGAACGGATGTGACTATTGCGAATGTAGAGGTATCCCCCCCCCCCCCCCCCCCATACTGTAATTGGTGGCGGTTGACCTGCTGGGGTGGGGCAAGAGCCCCAAGCCGATTTGGAGACTGTGACTATAGCATTGAGAATCATGTGAGGTGACACATCCATGGGGTGTGGTGTGATGATCGCGAATGCAGATTTATTGACCTGCTGGGGTTGGGGCAACAGCCCCAAGCCAAGAGAATGTGACTATAGCATCGAGGAGCATGTGAGGTGTGAATTGATGTTACTATATCGAATGTGGAGTCATTGCCCATGTCGAAGGTTGATGGTGGTTGACCATATGTCAACCTCCCCTTCCCTCCCCTCCCGTCTCCTCCCCTCCCCTCCCCTCCACTCCCCTCTACTCCCCTCCTCTCCCACCCTTCCCCTCCCCTCCCCACCCCTCCTTTCCTCTCCCCTCCCCTCCCCTCCCCTTTGCATCCAAGCAGCTGGATAGAGCGCACAGTGCTTGCTCCCCTCAAGATATCCTCCTTCCATATCGTGGGGCACAGCATGGGGTGCCTGATAGCTGCCGTTCTGGCTGCTCGCAACCGGGACAGAGTGGTGTCTCTCTGCCTTTACTCGCCTGTGAGTAGACCTCTTTCCTGGTGAGTAACCAGGGAGTGACAATCTTTGCCAGTGTCGGGGACACACACACGGCACTGGTTCCGTCGGTGCAGTCTTGGCTGCTCGCAACCGTGACAGAGTGGTGTCTCTCTGCCTCTACTCGCCCGTGAGTAACCCTCTTTCCAGTATCGGAGTAACAGGTTGGTTTACAGGATGCAAGATAGAGGGCACAGCATGGGGTGCCTGATAGCTGCCGTTCTGGCTGCTCGCAACCGCGACAGAGTGGTGTCTGTGTGCCTCTACTCGCCTGTGAGTAACCCGCGCTTGTGGTATTGGAATAGCAGCAGGTTGGCAGGAGATTGGGTCCACAGCATTCGGAAAGAGGGGGTTGCAGGGGTCGGGATTCACACGAGTTTTTACGTCAAGTCTCTCTATCATCTCGTTTTTTTTCCCTTCCATTCCTCTGTCTTCCCTTCCCCAGCCCTACATCCCCCCTCGACCGGGCCTAACTCCAGCGGAGGAGTTTTTCCAGCTAGTCACCCCACGCTGCTTCTCCCCTGCACTGCTCCTGGGCATCAGCATCATGTCGTGGTTCGAGCACGTGGGCCGAGTCATCTGCGCCTTGCTGGCGAATTTCCATTGGCTCTCGGACCCGCTTGCTGCTCACCTGCTGCCCCACCTAGGCACCAAGTGAGTGTGGGCTGTTTTTATTTCCAAGTCGCATTGACTCTTGCATGTCCGGTGTTTCTTGTGTCGTACGTGCCAAGTGTGTCCTTGATATGGTTTGCCTTGTGTGTGAATCCGAATGCACTTGTTTGCCTTGGATGCCCAGTCCTTCTCGTTTCGCTGCTGCCAAGCATGGATAATATCCACATGATGCGCCTTCCAATCTCCCCTCCTCTTCTCCACCACAGGCTCCTGCCCACTTTTATGTGGGATTTCACCGCGACACACACCGCACTGCGTGCCACTACGCATGCTCCTTTCTTTCATACTCCCTTCGCTCATACTCCCTCTCCTTACAACAGGCTCCCTCCGTCCTTCATGCGGGATTTCACCCGTCACACGCACCACACCGCATGGCACTGCTTCTTCAACACCATCTGCGCTGGCACCAACTTCCTGGAACCTTCCCTGCACCTACTGCACAACCAGAGCCCCACAGATGTCCTCGCTACAAGCAGTGGTGCTTGTAACGAGACCAAATCAGCGAGTACTTTAGCAGAGAGTGGTGAGTCATGCAACAGTAGTGTGCCTGTGACTATAGTGCATGGTGACAAAGACAAGCTGTGCCCGATTGAATCAAGCAGGGGGGTGGCTCGGCGGCATCCGAATGTGAAGCTGTTGGAGGTTCGGGGAGAGAACCACATTACAGTGGTGGTGGGTAGAGAGAAAGAAGCTGCTCGACAAATTGCGGAACTTGTTGAGGAAGTTGAGGCCACAAACATGATCGCATGAGCATGTTGTTATATTTTTCCTTCGTGGCTTAACACCGTATTGGTTTTCGTGGGGTACAAAACATCTATTTATGGACATGAAGTGTAGCAAACCCTAACATTTGTACCCCCTAAGACAAACCTCACTACAGGCTACAACATTTGACAAATCCCACCAATTTCCATGAAGATGTGATTCAGTGGGCACACGCGGGTGCATGGAGGTAGATGTAACCTTGTTGAGATTGGCGTTTGAACTTGGATTTGTACTTGCGCACTTGAAGATTGTGTGCATATTTTGTTCTCCTTGATTGTTTTTGTCTTCCATCTTGATTTTTAGCTTTTGGACTTTGACTTTGCTGCTATTTCAGTCCATATGGATCGCTGGGGGGTTTTCTCAATGCTGTAACAAACGGGACTTCGGAATCTCATTTCAAAACCACAGTCAATTCCTTCCGTGTCGCCAATTCCTTCCGCCACGTAAGATGCGGTCATGATCACTTTCCACATTATGCGGTGAGTATGGCACACAGTGGATGTGAAATTCGCCGCAACTGCACAGTTGCGGCCAATTTCACATCCCCGCCACTTACGACAAGCGTGCCACCCACCCCCGCCAACGTGAAATTGGCGAGGGCGAGGTGTACTCTGTACACCTTGTTGGAAACAGTGAAACTTAAGCGCTTCAGTCGTGTCGAAACATCGCACCAGAAGTGAAGCAAGCAGTACCGAAGCAAACGCGAGTCAACCCTCGGAGGTTGAGAGGTTGCTGGAGGTTACGCGAAAGTCAAAGGTCAAGCGACCTTTGACCTGACAAATACAACGCGACAGTTAAGGACACACAACTGACTCGTTACAGAGCAGTTGCCCGAGTCGTATTGTATCGAACCGCAACAGCAATAGTAAAGTAGTTACAACTGTTTCCATTCATATTCCTTGTATCAATATATAATCTTGTACTTCTTCAATATAATCAATCTACTTTGCCCTCACATACTAGCGCAAGGTGGTTCACAATTCTTCATTAAGCTTCCGCTGTTACAACATTATCCTACCCAGAGTTCTCCCCTGAAAAGATCCTAAGGGGCTATCTCAGCCCAACATGGTATGAGAGCAAACAGGGGAAACTCTACTACCTTCAAATCATTACAAGACATGGCAACAAGCAAGGAAAGGAGCTCCTCTAACGGCTCCCCAGGCACTACTCCTACTCCACCTCCTGCCTCTGGCCTGCAGACAGAGGAAGACACGACAACAAGACCAAGGGTGACATCTACTGAGACTCCCACAAACCACCCCGCCAATTTCGACCAGAGCATGATGGAGAAATTTTTCTCCTTCATGTCCTTCTACGAGCAGCACCAGCAATCGGGACCTGCACAGACACACAACAGCAACAACGGAGCGACGCCCATGAGCCTCGACGGGTCGTCATATGCGCGCGGAAACCAACAGCAGCAACCTACCTTCGCCCCGTACGAGCGCGGGTCGATCAGCTTCATGCCGCAACCTTCACCTGCACAAGACAAGCCACTGGACGCGTTACAAGTGCAATCACAGTTCGCACACGTTCTGAAATTGCAGACATCAAGGCGCGACGGAAAGGACTTCTTTACCTGGTCATTCGAGTTCGAATTGATGATGGAAGGCGCGCAGATACTTGGCTTCTTCGACGGGTCTCTGCAATATCCAGCAAACGGCATATAGTATGAGAAGCAGCAGTATACGTATCAATCGATGATGGCGTATACGATTCTGCTGAGGAACGTCACACCAACTCAGCAGCAAAACATATGCTCTTACCGGGGTTATGGCAACTCCGCTGAGCTCGCGTACAGCCACCTGAAGAGCCTGTATCAAGCAACAGACAGCGTAAACCAGAGCAGGTTAATGGCGCAGCTGACAACAGTTGAAATGAAACCAGGAGAAAAGGGGATGGCGTATATCAGCCGATGTCGCGAATTGCGCGACAAGCTTCTTCGATGCGGAGGGTCAATATCAGAAGACGCCTTCGTGACGGTCATCATTGGCGGTCTTGGTCCTCAATGGCGCGCCACCAAAGCTATCCTCCGAGCCCACGGGAGAATCTCTGAAGCAGCACTCTGCGCCGAAATCCACGCCGAGCAGCAGGACATGGACCTGCAAGAAGAACGACACAGGAAGAAGACAACAGCATCAGAATTTGCCTTCCACACTCAGCGACGTTACAACAACTACAACAATCGACAACAGCAACCGAAGCCCGTACCTCCCTTTTGTCAGAATGTTATTATTGTCTAGCCTGTAGTGGGGTGCTCTATAGCGAGTACAACCCAATTAGGGTTTGCTATATGTACCCCAACTGCTGCTAGTGAAACCTCTCTCCTTTCAATCATTCTTGCCTAGTTCTGTTGACATGCTATCAGAGCAGGACGATCCAGATGGGTCGATCCTGTGGGTGGGCCCCACCACCTGCTTCCGCTGCTCCTACTACTCTTTGTGTCGCACGCCCCGTGGCGTGCGACGGATTTTTCATCCCGCCGCGCGCTCGGGGCGTGCGGCGGTTTTCTCCCCGCCGTGCGCCCCGAGGCGCGCGGCGGTTTCCTACCGTGGGGGACGCCCGCGGCCCCCCGATCCCGTCGCCCGCGGCCCCCCGATCCCGTCGCCCGCGGCCCCGCGATCCCGTCGCCCGTGGCCCCCCCCCCGATTTCCCGTCGCGCCGCCCTGGGGAGCCGCGCGCGACCCCCCGCGGCCCCGATTTCCCGTCGTGCCGCCCTGGGGAGCCGCACGCGACCCCCCGCGGCCCCGTTTTCCCGTCGTGCCGCCCTGGGGAGCCGCGCGCGACCCCCCGCGGCCCCGATTTCCCGTCGTGCCGCCCTGGGGAGCCGCGCGCGACCCCCCGCGGCCCCGATTTCCCGTCGTGCCGCCCTGGGGAGCCGCGCGCGACCCCCCGCGGCCCCGATTTCCCGTCGCGCCGCCCTGGGGAGCCGCGCGCGGCCCCTCGCTGCCCCGTGGTGGCGTCCTGGGGGCCGAGCGCCGTCCCCCTCGCCGTCCCCCGCGCTCCTTCCCCCGTTCCGCCCGTTTTTAGGGTTTGGGGGTGAGGAGTGTGGGGGTGGCAGCTATGGGGGTGCCGTGTGTGTGCGCCGTCCCCTGCTCCTCCTCCTCCTCCGTCTCCCACTGCTGCAGCTGCCGCTGAGGGGGGTGGATGTGTGGGAGCCGAGGTTTAGGGTTTAAGGGGGGTGTCGTGGAAGTGGAGCTAGGGTGTCAGCAGGGGGTGTGTGAGAGGGGCGTGGGACGGTCGGGGGAGGTTGCGTGGAGGTAGCCGTCGTGACGCCAGCAGCGCCAGTAGTCCGGATGCCCTCGCGCGTTTCGGTAGCCCAGCGAGCCTGCTTCGCCAGTCGCCTGTGGGTCCGTTGCTCTTGTGTGTGCTCGTCGTAGCCGCGGAGCCAGATACTCCCGTAGTCCGGTGCCCTCGTGCGCTCGGTAGCCACTGTGCGCGCCGCTCCTGTTGCCCGTGTGTCTGCAGCTTCAGTCGGCGCCTTTCATCTTCTCGCCCTCACAGTTTCTCCTCCTCCTCACTTGCCCTCTATGATCACCTCTAGCTTTGCTTATAATTGTGAACTATTGCTATGCCTGCTCATTGTACTGATTACACCCCACTTTGGCTATGGGGGTGTGTCAGAATGTTATTATTGTCTAGCCTGTAGTGGGGTGCTCTATAGCGAGTACAACCCAATTAGGGTTTGCTATATGTACCCCAACTGCTGCTAGTGAAACCTCTCTCCTTTCAATCATTCTTGCTTAGTCCTGTTGAAACCTTTTGCCACATCTGCAAAACTTCGGGACACCCACGCACGCATTGCCCGAATCGTCAACAGTCAACAACTCCACAGTAGCAGCTACGACCCTCAAGCAATCAAGTTGCGTCAACACAGGCGAACCCGACGACTCAAATTCAAGCTTCAACGACCTCAACGGGACAACCTGCACAAGGAGCAAGAAACATCGTTAGCTGCATGGCAAGACTGAGTGACTCTTGCGTCACGGAATCACCACCATACTACTCACCAGAAGAACAGCTCGACGAAACGACACCTCGCCGCGAGTCACTTCAACCGAACCCGACGTACGCCGCCATCGCCCAAAGCGAGCCATCCGGGAAAGACACATGGTTCTTGGACAGTTGCTGCGGCCAGCACATGTGCTCTTCAGGACGCTTCGTGCAACGAGAGTACCAACTTCAACAGGAAGTCATCATTACCGTCGCCAACAACCAGAACCTGCGCACACGACGACAAGGCGTAGTACAACTTCAGTCACGAGAGACAAACGTTATCCTGCAGATGTCTAAGGTCCTAATTGCAAAGGGCTTGGGCTACAACTTACTAAGCGTCAGTCAGTTGATGGCGAAGGGCATTCATCTTGAAGCAGACAGCACAACTCAGGAGTTCAAGCTGTACCACGGGAGAGGAGGTCTCTACATCGGGAAGGCGGTCCTCAAGAACAACGTCTTCGTTCTTGACTTCGTTCCGGACCTTGGCACCGCTGACAGTGACGCCATCGTCAATTTTACGAACTGGACGCACCCTCCAGACCTTGATCCAGACTTCAGTCCGGGCGGCTTCTGGTACTCACACACCATTCCTGAAACAGAGAGAACAAGAGCGTTAGCAACGATTCAACAGTCGGCAGCAGCAGAGACAACATCGGCAGCAGCAGAGACAACATCGGCAGCAGCAGAGACAACATCGGCAGCAGCAGAGACAACATCAGCAGCAGCAGAGACAACATCGGCAACAGCAGAGACAACGACAGCAGCAGCAGGAACATCAACACCAGTCGCCGGACCTTCGACGACACCATTCTTCATCGACGACACGCCACCAACACCCGCGCAGCAGCTTCAACCAACGCCGCGAGAAGTTCACCGCAGCGCCAACTTCACCGCCGGCTTCTACTCCAACTCCGACATGTACCGACGTTCTCAAGGACACCGCGCCACCGAAGGAACCTGGCACGCAAGAATGGGACATCCGAGCCACA